AAAAAAAAGCTTTTGCTTCTTTCTTTGGCAATTTTGAGGACTCGAGCAATGAAGGCACATTTTGCTTGCTCTTTTCACAGAGGAAACAACTTCTTTCAAAGAATTGTTTAGCATTGGAAGAATGTTATGAAATCGTGCTTTGAAGCGCTTCTAGTGATACGCATCTTACTTCAAATGGTCAAGGTCGCTAGTCGTGACTTATTGTTTTGGGCATATGCGAAATTTCAAGCAAAAATTGAGATTGCTTGTCTAATGTAGAAAATCTTCGAAAAGAGCCGAACAAATTGTTGATTGACCATGCTTGAAATTTATCTTACAAACTTGACAATTTGGATTCACTCACATTTTAGCATTTTGGATAATTCTTTTCATGGTTTTCTGGAGTTTCACGGTTCGATTTCAGGATGTACGAAACATCAACACTATGGCTGTCAAAAGTGCCAGAACTGGAGTGCTGATCCTAGGCGGAGGCGTCGTGAAACATCACATTAATAATGCGAATCTCATGCGAAATGGCTCCGACTACACAGTTTATATCAATACCGGAATGGTAGTCATTATAAAAGATCCGTGAAGAAAACAACGACAAAATGACAGTTTTAGGAGTTCGACGGATCCGATTCCGGCGCACAGCCGGATGAGGCAGTAAGCTGGGGGAAGGTTGGTTCCAAGTTGTTTTGAGTTTATCTACTTGCTCACAGCTTTTGATTTCTACTTTATGCTATCGTTTAGATCAAGCCAGCCGCCCAAGCTGTAAAAGTTTGCGCCGATGCCACCCTAGTCTTCCCCCTGCTTGTTGCGGAAACTTTTGCCAAGAGAGTACTAAAAAACAGATAAATTAGCCGATGTTAGGTACAAGTTGTTATCCTTTATTAGTTTAGTCGTTGTTGCTTATGATTTGTTACTGTTGGTTACTGTCAGTGTTACTGTGTTGCTTTGAGCTATTAACTGAATTTTCGTCATATTCCAGCAATTGTTTAGACTATAGTTATAAGGTAGATGTTTAGTGAAATGATGACATGGCGGAGTTCAGATACAGTGGGAAAGTCATTGATCATGAGTTTTTCAGACCTGCTCTCCCTCCGTAAGCTGAACGAGGGGCTGATTTATAGATTATCGTCTTAATGAATTATGGAATATAACCTGTATGTAAACAAGAGGCAGGTCATGTAGATTTATAATTTTTCACTTAAAGTTTTTTATAAGTGTATACTACATAGGGAATCGTAGGGAAGATTTCGAATATTCGAATGATTCGAAAGTTGGAATTTTCGAATACTTGAGTTTGCGAATTATTCGAGAATCGAAATTTTGGACTACTCGATTTTTCGAATAATTTGAGAGTTAGTGCTTTCGAGTACTCGAAATTTCGAGCAAACTGGAATTAAGAGTCTTGAATATTCAAGTTGTTTAATAAGTATCGAATGACTACTTTTTGGACAAAAGTTATTATTCATATGAAATTTGCGTTCAAAATATAGTTTTAGCTCCAGAGACACCATTACTGCACTTCATCTGTTTGTATAGCTAACATTCGTAGGTCAGGTATAGAAAAGAACCGATCTGTGTTGAGATTATCTTTCACAACTACTGTAGTTCATGTCCTCTTCAAGCTCACTTTAACGCTTAACATGCAGCTTCTCTGATTCACGTTAAAGTTTTCCTCTACAAACTTCCGCTTCCGTTTGATCATGATACTCGATCACCATAAACCTACTGATTTTGTGTTCTTTGAATTTCGAAGGTTCACATAAGTCATCATCCAGAGGTGCTTAAGATAGGCCCAGGCTCTGGCTGTGTCAGGGCAACACGTGTCTTCTAGATTGGTGACCATCAAAAATATTCAAAGCCACCACACTGTACATCATCCAGAAGAAATTTCTATTCAAATTAAGAAAAAGAAACTACGGCTTCCCTGAATCAGCCGAGCGTAGCCGAATATCTAAGCTAGTGAGCTGTAGAATTTGACTGATAATATTTAAATACTGATTTTCATTGATCTTTTGGGACACTTGCAGTGAGAAGTCGCGAACAGTTTTGAAGAATGCTTTGCAAGAAATCGTTTTTCTCTCGTTACTCAAGGTACTTTTTCAGGTGCAATCTAGAGAGATGGCATTTTCTATTCTTACGCATTTTTGACACTCGCTAGTTAACATCAACAGTTAATAATTGATGAGCATTTGATCCAATACATCCAGTCAGCCCATGCGTTAAGAATTATCTTGCTGTTTGATGAATAGGACAAGAAATATGTCATTTGCTGCCAGTGCTTTTGCGTCTACAATTGTCATGATTCGTTAATACATTGCTTATATCTGCTTACCCGAGCGATACAAAAGTTTAATTGACCAATGCTTCGAGGTCATGAGATTTTAAAGCCTCTCATAAAGTGACTATAAAGCAATTCAGAGCAAGACAGAGATTTACCCAATGGATCCAGGTTTTTAGTAATTTGAAAAGATGAGCCATACTCCACGCGCCTCTGAGAATTGCTGGAAAATGATATTGCCACTATTGGCTTTGCCTTGGATTTGCCATAAATGTATTTGCACAACAGTGACATAGTAAAACCTTCAACTTTGCCAGAACTATACTCCATTCTTCGTCTAATACAGTGTACACACAATAAAAAATATCTCTGAAGAATGGTAAAGTCTTGTGCAATAAAGCTTTTTTTTCTACAAAAAAAAAAAACAGCTGAGATAGATATCGTATTCAGAATTTATATTATCTACCTATAATGTATGGGGTTCTTTTATCAACTGCTTGAATGTCTAAAACTTAGTAAAGACATGAAATGCTTTCGTATTTCACTGTAAAGTGCACAATATCCTTCTACAATGATGCAGTCAAAACATTCGCTTGACGTCTATCGAGCAAAAGGCCACAAACATAACAAAACGACATAAGACCAATGACTATCATCAGTAAGAGTGTAGGAGCTAAAATCGGTGGCGCCTACTCCCGAGCTCGTAGCATGGCTAAAGGAAGAGTTTGCAACATCAGCACAACCGTCCAACTTCCACAATTTGAAAGGAAATTACCAGCAAACATACATACCTGCTAAAAGCGTGTGAACCAAAATGTTGCGCTCTACCCATGTACTTGAGCCATGCTTAAGCGGAGGTAACGTCAAACTTATATCCAATCAAACTCGCTTACCGAGTGTTATTTATCAAATAATCTATCGGTCTAAAGCGAATTCATACATAGTAAGATCACAAACTGAGCAAATAAGGCGTTTTGGATGTAAAATAAGGAAAGACCTTATGTCCCAATTTTTAACGCTGTCATTCTACAATGAAGAGGTACTTAGCTAGTCGAGACGGCAGATCAAGCAGAGACAAATATTGGCAGATGTACCATGAAATGCTTATATCAAATATGATTGCATACTTTAAAACGTTTTCTGGAAGAAGTTATGGAAACTTCCTCTGCCAAACATAGATTGTAATTGCTCTAAAACAACATTTCCACCTAAAACAAGAATAAATTTTAAGTGAACAGAATTTAAAACTTTTTTACACGTAAGTCCTTCTCGACAAAGAAGATGTACATAAGAGCAAAGATTGTTTCGCAGTTATCGGAAAAGGATTTAGTAAGATGTTCCGAGCTGCATCTATCAATACTTACCACCTGCTGAATCGCATCTTCGACCAGTACCC